CTGGCCTCTCCTCAGGCAATGCGAGGTGATGCTGGCCACCTGTGAGCCCCGGAATGTCTCGGGGCCACCTTATTCATGGGTGTGTGTGTGTGTGTGTGTGTGTGGTATGTGTGACCTCCTGGCGTCATTGTGGAAAATCTAACGTGAACTCTTCAGCCATCTGGGGAGGCTCCTGGCTCTGTGGAAAGTGAATGAAGTATGAGCAAGCTCCCTCCCCCCACCTCTGAACCTCAGTTTCCGCATCTGGAAGTTGGGGAGAGTAGTTTCTGCCTCACTGCTGTGCTGTGGGGCTCAGAGGACCCAGTGTTTGCAAGGCGCCTGGTCCGGCTCTTGGCACAGGGATAGTGTCCCAGTGGAGGCACGGACCCTCGGAGCTGTGCTGCCCATTCGTGCTGGATTTCTGGGGAATGCGTCCTCCGACAGGCTTCCGGCGGGAGCCTGTGGGAACAGGACCAGCCTGGAGCCCTGAGGCCGGGCGCCTGGGTGGGCTTGGGGAACCACAGGAAGTGCAGGCAGAGCCCTGAGGATGAGAGGGAGGGAGGTGGTATTGAGGCTGGGCTTGCAGTATTTCCCTCTAAATGGCAAAAGGAGTGGAAGAGGGAGAGGAAGAGGGTGGAACAAGAAACCTTAGAGTACCTACATATTCTTAAATCCCCCCCAGACCCTGTGCATGAGCAATCCACTTTACAGATGTGGAAACTGAGGCCCGTGAGACTCAGGCAATCATTCATGCTGAGGATCAGACATGGGTGGGAGAGAACCAGGCAGAGTAGCTTTGCCTGATGTATTTCAAGCTTGGGGTGCTTGTATGGGGCTTTGTCACCAGCAAAAATTAGATCAAAAGCTCCCCTACAAAACCACGATCAAATCAAGATTTAAAATAATTTTTAAAAAAGGAATTCGGGAGAGCCGAGGTGACCAGGTTGAGGTGGCCTAGCTAAACTGACATAGCAAGGACCCCTCCGTTCCTCCTTGGGAGACCTGAGCAGGGGCCTCCTCCTCAGGGATGCATCCCACCCCAAGGCCCCCTCCTCGGACTTTATTGGGTCCCTCATGGGCTCTCCGAGACCTGGCACCTGCCTCCTTCTCTGTTCTAATAAAAGGCGGATGCCCTGGGGGTGGACGGGGTGGCGTGTGGGGGGCGCTGGCTCCTGGCCACACTGGGCGACACATTCCTGGGCTTTGACTCACAGGGAAACGTCTTCGTGTCTCCTCAGCGCTTTTGGACCCTGCAGCTGTGGTCACATTCCTCTTCTTGGTCCCCTCCCTCCTGCAGGAGCTGCAGCACAGGGCCGGGGAGGGCCAAACCGCGAGAGGGGACTCTCGCTGGAGGGGCGCTCTGTCCTGGGGGGAGCCCTTGCCCTGGTGACTTGCCTCGCCATGGATATTTGGCATCGTCTGAAACACCTTTGGTTGTCACAGCTGGCAGTGTGCGTGTGCCCTGCTGTGCTACTGACGTTTAGAGGGCAGTGGCCGGGGACGTCACGGGTCTCCCTACCCCACAGGATGTTGAGAAGCACCCCAGTCCTTGAGCGGGAACCTGGCTCAGTGCCCCCAGGTGTCGGGCAGGAGAGGGGCTCAGAGTCTCCCTGTCACTCGCTGTGGCAGTCCCTGGGCCGGACACCTGACACGCCAAGAGGATGGTTTTAGAGCCTGCAGCCCCAGGCAGGAGACAGTCAAGGACCTGGTTTGCTACCAGTCATGCAAAGAAGGGACTCTGGAAGGGGCGCGCGGGAGGCCACTTCTCTTGTGCTTGGAAGACGGACCCACAGTGCCGAGAAAAGCGCTAGACAAGCAGTCCACAGAAAACGCCACTGCCAGGCCACGTCTTGTCACTGGCTCTCAGGGTGGACCTCTAACCAGTGCTGAGCAGAGAGCTCTCCTCGTAGGGCCTTGCGAGCTCCGGGGTCCTGGACTCAGTACTTTGCAGTGATACCCAGAGGCTGAGAGCTTCAAGCCAAAGCAGACTGTGTCTGGTTTTGTAGAAAGGTGTCTCTGGCACCCACCCCGCCGTTTGTGCCTTGTCTATGGCCACATTAGAGGAGTCCGGTCTGGTACCTGCAGCAGAGACTCTCTGACCCTTGGACTCTAAAGTTTTTCAGCTGGGCCTACAGGACGTGTCAGCTGACCCCTGCACTAAGTAGGGGACAATTGTGGGCTAAAGTCATGGAACATTTGGGCACAGCTGGAAGGTCACTTCTTTGGGTCGGTGGAGGAGTGGGAGAGATTTTTTTTTGATGGTGGTATGGTGGGGATTGAACCCAAGGCTTTCACACTGAGCTACGTCTCCCTCTTCTTATCTGTTTTTAAAATTTTGAGACAGCGTCTCACTAAGTCACTAAGCTGCCCAGTCTCAGCTCAAACTTGTGATCCTCCTGCCTCAGCCTCCCAGTGTGCTGGGATTACAGCTGTGTGCTACCATGCCTGGAGGAAGGGCATGTCTTAAAGGACATTCTGTCTACTTCACAGGTCAGAGTCTCAAACCAGGATTCCTCTCTTCAGCCTCACTTTCCCTATGTATAAGTGTAAGCCGCCATGCCCGTCTGGCAGGGTAGTGCCGTGGCCCATGATGGGGTGGCTAAGGAGAGAGAGTCTCGTGCCCAGGCCAGGCTGACTGAGCTGGGTTATTTATGGGTTTCCGCCGGGAGGGGGCTGCGGGCCTCAGGCTGTGTCTGACCTGAATTCTCACACTTACAGGAAATTAGAGCCCTTGGAAGCAGGTGCGCTGGTGATCCCAGCACTCGGGTGGCCGAGAGGGTGAGACGTGGCTCAGGCTTTGGGGAGGGGGGCCAGCCGGGGGCTGGAGGAGGGGCCCGCGAGGAGACAGGCTCCTCTCCTCCTCCCTGCAGTGGTGACTGCTCCTGTAAGCTGGCTTCTTGCTCTGTGCTTTGCCTGTGTTTGCTCAATTAGGCCCCCCCTGTGCCTGTGAGGAAAAGATTATCTCTCCCACTTTACAGATGGGGAAACTGAGGCTCAAGGAGGTACGCTCACTTACCCATGAGCAGAGTCGGGATTGGAATCCAGGAAGGCTGTGCAATTCCAATTTTCATATCCTCTTCTCAACACTGGCCACCCTGGGGCAATGAGGAAGTCTCCAGGGAAATTCCAGAAGGTTCCACGGGTTTGGTGGTCACCTGCTGCTGGGGCGGCAGTGGGTGTGCAGGTCTGTGGTGCTGGAGGGGCGGGACTGAAACAGGAGGGTGCGTGATGAGCGATCGTGTTTCTCAAGTGCTGGACGCACTGTGCAGGGCAGGTGCCTGCAGCCACAGCTCAAACGGGACCTGCAGCCAGGGGCCGGGGCTGCCTCCGTGCAGCGGGGCGGGAGGGGGCGTGTGTGACGCTGTCTCTGGCTGACAAGAATCTGTGGGGACAGGAATGCATGTGCAGTAACATGAGTGAGCAAGAAGTGGGTCACAGTGAATGCCTGGGTGTTGCAGGGATGACTTGGGTTTGGTGAGGGTGAAATGTGTTCAATTTTGAAGACCCTCTTTGTGAAAAAGAACAAAATGGCAAATACTGTGCTTTACCTGTAATCCCAGAATTCAGGAGGCTGAGGCAGGAGGATTGCTGCAAGTTCAAGGCCAGCCTGGGCGACATAGTGAGTTCAAGGCCAGTCTGTACTACATATTGAGATCCTGTCTCAAAAAGAAAAAAAAAAAAAAAAAAAAAAGAAAGAGAGAAAGAATGAAAGAGAAAAAAGAAAGAAAGGAAACCACAACAAATTACACAATTCTAAGCTGACAAATACCACAAACATGACCAAACCCAGAAAAATATCATCATGTTTTTATTAATTAGCTCCCTGGCATGCTGTGCCACTGATTTCCATCCCCATTTTTGGCTTTGGCTTTCATGTGAACCAGTTGCTGGGGGCTTGGAAGGATCCTGCGGTGTAAGTGTCGGGGTGTGAACTGTGGGTTGGCTGAAAGTGTATGTGAGTGCCAGAGGGTGCACAATTGCACAGGGCTGAGTTTCACAGGAGAGTGGGAGGAGAGTGATACCAACACAGCAGACTCGCTCCATGGACGTTTGTTGAGGGACTAACATAGAACATTGCATACATGTGTAGGACATATGTGAGTTTGGGTGTGTGGCCTTGTGAATACCTGACCGTGCAGTCCTATCTGTGAGAAGGAGTACATGTCTGCATGATTCCTTGGTGTCTTTTGGCGTTCTAGTTTTGGGGGTCTCCTCCTGGCTGTACCTCCACTCCCACCCTACACCCTGCCCAGAGGCAGGTGTGCACAGACACACCACGGCATTTAGTCCAGGCCTTTCGGGGACAGGCGCGGTGTATGGAATTCACAGCTCCTTCCCCTGCCCCGCCTCCCTCCCTCCCTCTGATGACATGTTGGTAATCCAACCCTGGAGAAGCTCAGCGTCCTGCTGAGAGGCTGGCATAGGTGTGCATGCGTGCGTGCGTGCGTGTGTGTTGCTCACACCCGTCCGTGTGCAAGTGGGGAAGCTGAAGCTCAGGGGCAGCGAGGGAGTATTTGAACAAATTAGCTGGACCTGATTGGGGCCAGGGTTCCCACTGGAGTGACAGTCGCTGGGCAGTACGGGGGACAAACCCCAGGCCAGGACCTGCCAAGGGGGTGGGCGGAACGCACCTGTCCTGTGCCGCTTCTAGAAAAGCAGAGGACCGTGCGGGGTCCTGGGGCCGCGTGAGGAGGGCCTGAGGGGAAGCTTGCCTCGCTCTGAGCAGGCCGGGTGGGCGGGTGCAGCCTTGGCTTTCAGGACAACCTGGCTTCTGTGGGAGATGAGGGGCTTCCGGGACCTAGGACCACCAAGGAGGCCAGTGCTCCAGGGGCTGGTGGGGTGAGGTGGGGTGGCCGAGCCGAGGTAATGCCAGCCTCTGTCCTTTTTCCTGGCCCAGCCGTGCCTGTGAGGGGCATCCTTTTGTCCAAGGGGAGGCGGGCAGGGCCGGGCAGAGGCAGAGCCTGGCTGCCTGGGTTCCCACGCTGCCCTCTGGTGCGCCACTTAACCTCTTTGGTCTGCAGACTCCCTATCCAGGGATGACAACGGGGACAACCTTAGAGCATCGCTCAGCACTCATGAGTAAAAGCCTCGCCTGGCTGGTGTCCAGCGCTGGGAATCGCGCCAGGATGGACGTTTCCACCTGGGAGGCTTCCTGCAGCTAGCAGAACCCTGGACCAGAGAGAAGAAGCTGGCGCTGGGCGGAGAGCACGGCTGGGAGCCTTGCCTGGTGCCTGGTCTGCCCTGAATGAACCACGGCCAGGCGGACAGGTGAGTGCCACCACCGCAGTCAGCCTTGGGCACCCTGGGGATCAGCGCTCGGGCCCTCGCTCCATCCTGGTGGCCCAGGGAGGCGGTCACCTCTTGAGCTCACAGCTTGGAAGGGCTGAACCCAGGTCTGACTCCCTGAGTGACCTTAAGTGATGAGCTTTGCTGTCCCTGGCCCGTCCTGAGTGTTCGGTACAAGCTGTTATTGCTGAGGAGGTGTGACTGGTGTAGACTGTGGGGAACAGGTTTCCCCAGGGGAGCCCCATGGAGGCCCAGGCTGAGCAGAGGCTGGGAGAGTTCAGGGTCTAGTCCCTCAGTGGCCCGGGCTTTTTATCTGTGCAAGGGCAGAGCTTGGCATCCCCGTGCTTCCTCCCCCAGGGAGCAGGACCACGTGCTGCCGGCGTCTGTGGGACGCGTTAGGTCAAGGCTAAGGAACAAGTGTTAAGTCCCTGGGAGGCCCCACTCACATTTTACCCATGGAAGGACAGTCCTGAGGGCCTGTGAGATCCGCTTGCCCCTCCAGACACTGCCCTGTCCCTACCTGTTCTGGCGCTGGGTCCTAATGACCGTCACCAGGGTGCTCTGGCTGAGGATGCCATAGGGCTCACACAGTGTGCACCTCCAGTTCCCTCTGGGCTGTCTCCAGGGGCCACCTTGGTCCTTCTGCAGCTCTTGCAGAGCCCCCCTCTGGGTTCTCGGGGCTGCTCCTTCCCTTCTCCCTTAAGGCTTCAGGGTGCTAATAGCTCCCCACCCTTGCTGGTCCCTGGGCGCAGCCCTGTCTCCCGGTCTGTTATTGGCTTCCTATCCATACCCTGGGAAGTCCCTTTCCCGTTACCTCCTTTGTGTCTGCTTCCTGCTGGGGCCCTGAGCATCTCTCCAGCCTGTCCCCAGCTGCCTCTCCCTTCAAGCTCCCCTGTGGCTCCTGCCCTGCTGTTAGCTGGGTCAGGAATGCCACTTTCAAGTTCTCAGTGGGAGGAGAGTCCCAGAGTCATTTCAACAAACACCAAGCCCAGCAGCCATGGCGCTAAACAAATAAGATCTGGCTGAGGGTGGGGGACTTGCTCAGCCCCTCGGGCTTCAAGCAGGGGTTCGCTGCTGTCTGACCAGGCTGGACTGGTCACACCAGGAGCTCATCCACGTTCTGGGGTCTGCAGCTTTCTAGGGCTCCTGGGCCCACCCTATGCCCAGGCCTTGCAGCAGCTGAAGCCTGGCTGCTTGGCAGCTTTCCAGAGGGAGAACATGATAAGGATGCCTCTTTCATGCAATCAGGAAGTTCTTCCCGCATCTGACCACCTCCTCTCATGCTTTCTGGCTATTTCCTAGGGTTTCTGTGGTGATGGCAGGTACAAACATGCTGGCTTTTCTGAAGAGATGGTAATGCGCAAGGGTTGAAGAAGGGGGCCAGTCAGGATGCCACCAAAATGCTCCAGCCAGGATCATGGGGCCTGGACCAGGGTGATAACAGCAGGTGAAAAGGACTGGTTGGGTTCAGAAATCCTCCCATTTCAGCCAGGTGTGGCGGCACACACCTGCAATCCCAGCCTTCAGAGGCTGAGGCAGGAGAATCGCTGTGAGTTCAAGGCCAGCCTAGGCTACAAAGTGAGTTCAAGGCCAGCCTGAACTACATAGCGAGACCCTGTCTCAAAAAACAAACAAACAAACAAACAAAAACCAAGAAAGAAATCCTCCCATTTCAGCACAGACTCCATGCAAGAAACACCCCAGGACCTCTTGGTTGGACTCAGGCTCCTAAGTTTGGGTTCTGAATTTTACATCCTGGTGCTATGTTTCTCTGTGGTCAGTGGGTGGACTGAGGTCAGGGAGGGCTGCCGGGTGTGCCGCCACTTGGTGCCTACATATTGATCACTCTATGTTGTGCCATGGCATGGCTCCCCACCACTGCCAGCTCTTGGAGTATTGCTGATCACCACAGAGAGCTTTCTCCCTGGCCCTGTTTTCATGTTTGCCTTCTGCGAGGGATCTCAAGAGTGTGCAAGGTGTGGGCAGAGTCCATAATAATCAGCTCCCCTGTGTCAGGCATGTGTCACCCACTGAATCTCCCATCCGCTTGAGAACTGGGGGGCCTTTTGGCACTGTGACTGCAGAATACAGAGGTCCAAGGGCAGGAGGATCCATCACTGGGTAGTGGCAGAGCTGGGATTTGAACCCAGGCCTGCCTGACTCCCGGCCCTGGCCCTGTTCTCTCCGGATCTGCTCCCTTCCTCCCAGCCCCTTCTCCCCTCCTGCCAAGTGGGGCTGAGCCAAACTGGGGTTCCAAAGACTTCTCCTTCTCCTCCAGAGATAAATATTTGTTTCTCCCAGTGTAAATACCCCTTCGTGGTTAATGAGGCGATCGGGCCATTTCCTGACGCGGCTCAGTTCCCAAAACTCTCTTTCACTCAGGGGGAACAGGCCTAGGAGGAAAACCGCGCAAAGGGACTCAGAATCTCTCGGCAATTCCTCCCATGCACGGACAGGAAACTGCAGCTCAGAGAAGGCAGCTGACCCATCTGAGGTCACACAGCCGAGGTTCAAGCCCAGGCGGTCCAGCTCTAGGCTCTGTGGCCCTTTGCAGCTTCTCGTCGGTCCTGGACACTTTGCTAGGCCTCCAACAGCTGTGCTATGACTGCAGGCGGTGAGCACAGAGACTCTGCCCTCCCCCTCCCTTGGCATCTTAGTGTGGCACTCACAGCGCCCCCCAGGCATGGACCCCCTCCTGCCATCCCCACTTAAAGTGATACTTTAATAAATTATGCTTTTATGTTATTACACGTGGAGCTATAAAAGCAGAGAGTGTGCAGTGGGGCTGAGGTAAGGCGCCCTCAACTTTGCAATTTCCTGGTCTGGCCCGGCTCTGCTCTGCGCTGTGAAGTTTTCATTAATGTGCACAGGTGACGCCACAGGGCAGCCTCGGGCCAGGTACACTCCCACGGTGGGGCTCAGCCCTCCTGGACTTCGCCCGGCTGGACTCAGGCCGGCGCAGGGGTTCACACCAGCAATTAGAAATACGTCCCTCCGGGTCCGATCAAGCTAGGAACTGGAACAGCAAGCAGGGTGGGATGAAGGAACAGGCATCTACGGGCCCCACTCCAGGCCCGTGTGGGACCCTGGGCCCGGCACTGGGCACGTATGACTCCTGTTCACCCTCAGGAAGCCGTGCACTAGTGCCGGGAGCCCTAGTGACAGACAGGGAGAGGGGTGCTCTATGAGCAGGTGGTAGTGTGGGCCTTGAACTGGCCTTCTGATTCTAGAACCTGCTTTCCCGGCAGCTGGGCTGCACTCATTTAAGCCTCTGCCTCCAATCTCTGACACTTTCTGGGTGTCATAGTTACAAAGGCAATGGGTGCAATGGACGGAGAGTAGAAAACAAAAGCAAAAAACAACTTGGAGTCTGTGGGGAAGGCAGCCTTCTAGATTCTGGAACTTCTCTGTCCAGAGTGTCCGTGTGCCCGTCTGTGAAGCGGGGTCAAGCTCTCTTGCCTGCTGCCTTGTGGGTCTTCTTCAGGGAAAGCGCTGCCCTGGGGACCATGTGCCCCCTGCTCTCACCGTGGGCCTAGATGCCTCCTTGGACTGGCCAGGCATTCACAGAGCACAGGGAAACAGGACCTGCAGAGCTCCATTGAGGCTCTATGTGCTTCTTGAAAGATTCTAGAAGGTTCCAGCATGAGACGGGCAGCAAGAAGGCAGGAGTCCTGGGTGGGCAAGTGGACAACTTGGACGCTCGTCTGTAAAGTTGGTGCAGTGATCTTCGTGGGGGTCAGATGAGAACCCCCACCCACACACACTCATACCAGGCACAGGCCTGGAGTGTCCAGCTCCTGGCTCTTTTGGGAATTCATTCCCCGGGAGCTGAGGACAAAACTGAGGCTGGAATTAACTCCCACAGTTCTGTGGAAGCGAGGCCGCCCTCAAGCTGCTGGCTCTCATGCCAGGCCAGACGCAAACACGAAGCCACAGGGGTGGCCGGGCCTCTCGCACAGCGCCAGCGGGATTAGCTGAGAACCGGAGCTCAGCAGATGTCCCCTCTCTGCACTCGGTGACTCACTTGCCTCCCCAATTGGGAGAGGGATCCAGCCGGCCTGAGCCTCGCTGGCTGGTGGGCAGCTAGACGCAGGGCAGAGGTCGGGGTAAACACAGCAGTCGTGGCGGGAGGTAGGATGAGGGTGGGGACAGGGAGGACAGACATTTCCGCTCCGCAGGAGGAAAGGCTTGGAGGCTGCCTGCAGAGGGGGTGAGGCCCCGTCATGCAAGCTGGGCAGTCTTTGAAAGCAGGAGAAATCCAGACAGCACCTAGGGGGCCCAGGTGGGAACCCGTTGGGGTCCTCCAGCACACGCTGTCCTGGGAACCGGTGAGCACTTTCCGGAAAGGGCCAGGTAGTAAATAAGTTTGGGTTGTACAGGTCGTACTGTCTCAGTGCAGAGTGTTTAGCCCTGCTGCCGCATCCTGAGGGCAGCTCCTGACAATGTACATGTGAACAGGTGGCTGTGTTTCAACAAAACTTTATTCAAACAGACAAGCAGTGGGTCAAGTTTGGTTCGTGAGCCACAGTCTGCCAACCTTATAGAGCCTGTGGTCTGGGGCTTGCGGAGGGCTGGGGACTCTCCCGGAAGCTTGTGGGCAGGAGGGCACTGACCTGCTTTCTGTACTTGATTTTGCTGCTGGTGCCCCTCCACCTGGATATAGGGTGGCTCTTTCCTTTCCCCTCCCTCTCGCTCCCTCTCTCTTCTCTCTTCCCCCTTCCCACTCTCTCTCTGGCCCTCTTTCCTCCCCTTCTCTCCCCGTCCCCCTTCCTCACAACCTCTTCCCATCCATCCACTCACTGATGCATCTCTTCGTCCCTTTACTTCACTGCTCCAGCACAGCCCTGCTTAGGGTTTTAGCTAATGTGTTTGCTCACCAGCTCATTCTGTTCTGGGAGCTCGGGGTCCTATCAGCTGCAAAAGGAAGCCCAGAAGGAACTGGGATTGTTTATCTGGAGAGGTTGTGGGAAAACACAGGACTTGATTCTGGTCTTGGGCTCTGTGAAATCTCCAAAACAGGAACTGAGCAGCTCCTCACTTGTTCAGCCAGCCCCGCCTGTGCTTAGCCCACCACCTCCTCTGCTAAGGTCCTCGTTAGGAATGCGCGAGCACAGACTGTCCTCCAAGGGCCGGTGTTCCATCGCAGGTCAGACTCATGACCCTAGGGGAGCCAGAGTGAAGAATGTTCCAGAAACAAATTCAGCTTGGAGCCCAGTGTGTGTGTGTGTTTGTGTGTGCGTGAGCTTGCTGGTACACAACAGGTGTGAGAAGGGGGCTGGGTGTGGCTTGGGGAACTTGGCCTTCACCCCGAGAGCAGTGGGGAGCCCCAGTGCACGGCAATAGGCAGGGAGGGCAGGGAGGCTGGGATTTTGGAAGTATCACTCTGGACCCCTGTAGAGATGGATGGGTCATTTAGGTGTGGGTGGAAGGTGGCTTGGGGAGGCTTCCTGGGGAAGGGGCCTTACAGTTGGGCTCAGACAGGGAGCACGGGCCCTTTCTAGTGTTGACCTCTTCCCGCTGTGGACCTTGCCCACCTTGGGCCACCCAGGTGGAGGCTTTCTGGAAGTCCAGGCAGGGGCTGGAGGGAGGTGGGGGAAATGCCCCTCCCCCGCCTTCCCTCCTTCCTTCCCTCCCTCTACAGCAGTTCTGTCCTAGGCCCCTGGTGTCACCATCTTCATCTTTTTCCTGCCTCCTGGGACTCTCGCCCTGGGCCAGGGCTGGGTCAGTGCTGTTAGTCCTTATATGGTCAGCCTCAGGACCCCTGCACTGTCATGGCACAAGCAGGCAGCTCTAACACCAGCTCCCTGTGTGCTCCTAGGGAGCCTCTGGCCCCACAGGGCCTCGGTTTCCTCACCCATGTCACAGTTGTGATCTCAGAGGGCTGGCCAAAGATTGCAGACCCCCTGGGTATGGCCCTTGCTAGTTAGGTCCAAGAGCTAATAAATATTAGTTACTAATGATTGTTATTCATAATTTTTATCAGATGAATTTAAAAGATGAGGCCCTAGGTGAAGACAGTGGTGTTGGAGGTTAGGATGGAGCATGGGGAGAAGCTGGAAATCTGTGACGAGTTCAGCCAAAGAGCAGTATTGCAACCTTCTGCTAGCCACTTACAAGTCATGCTATTTGGGGGAACTCCAAATGCAGATGACAGGGTTGGCTGTGGTAGAGCACTTCTATAATCCCAGCCCTTTGGGAGGCTGAGTCAGGAGGATCGCAAGTTCGAGCCCAGCCTGGGTAGCTTAGCAAGATCCTGCCTTGAAAACAAAACAAACAAACAAACAAAAAAAGTGTTGGGATGCAGCTCAGTGCAAAGGCCCTGGGTTCAATCCCCAGCCACCCCCTCCCCCAAAAGCAGATGCTAACGAGGCCACATCTCCTGCTGCTGTGTACAGCGAGTGAGAACAATGTATGTGAAGACTTGTCCTCAGCTGAGTGCACACCAATATCCTGTGATCCTTGCTGACTGGTGTCCTCACAACTGTTGCCGTGGTTCACACTTGGCAGAAGAGGAGACCGAGGCTCAGAGAAGTGGAGCGCTGCACCCCAGGTCACACAGCCAGCTGGGGCTTGGTCTGCGTAAGGTGGGAGTGGAGATAGAGGACCATGAGGACTCCCGCCTGTGTGCAGTCTCAGGCCTTGAGTTTCAATCCCTCCCACCACTGCCCGGAATCCCTGTCTGTTCCCACGCCCTCTGGCCTGCCCTTCCCGCCCCACTGGGCTCCCGGTGCCCTGAGTCTGGAAAGTTCCCGAGCCTGGAGAGATAAGGGACGCTTGCCCAGGCCCGTGGGCAGCTCCTGCCTGCGGCCCCTTTGATCACAGACCAGATGGTGTGCGGAGGCAGGCGGCAGCGATAGAGGCCGCCCAGGGATGGCCAGGCCATATCAGCCACCTGGAGGGGCACCTCCCTCTGCCACCGTCCCTGCAGACAGGAAGCTGTCCCTATGCCGGTGCCAGGACACGAAGAGGGGTCAGAGGCCTGGCCCTTTCATCCTCCGGAGGAGTGGCTGGGGACAGGACCTGTTTCCTTGGTGGAATGGGAGTGGGACACAGCAGCCATGACCCCAAACCACACAGATACCCAAGTCTTGCCTGAGGATCGATATGGGGAACCTTCCCCAGGCAGTTTGGTTTCACCAGCCCAGGGGCAGGGCATGGCTTTTCTAGGTCAGGTCCAAGCTAGATGCTTTGATTCTGGTTCCCTGCTGCCTCTCAAGTGTGGTGGCATCAGGGCCGGGCTGCCTGTGGCTTGGGGCCTGGTGCTCAGGACTTCTCAAGCCCACTTAGAGCCTTAGACCTTAGAGCCCTCAGACCTGCAGAGGGCCGTGAGAACAGGTCGCATTTCCTTACCGGTAAAGCGGGGCTCCAGACTCTCTCTCACAGGGCCGTGTGAGGACTCAGGAGCCACCCAGGGAATGGAACACATCCAGAGCTGCAGCAATGCAGACCTCACAGGGAGCGCCCCCCGCCCCCCGCCCAAGCCCCAGCACCAGTGCCATCTCCCAAGCCGCGTAGGCTGTGAAGGCGCAGCAGGCTCCTGGGGGTAGTCCTGGGTGCCCCAGCCTGAGTGGGCACCTTCCCTGCTGTCCTCAGCTCACCCTTCCGTTTACGTGAGGCAGCAGGCATCCATCCCAACGTCCTCTGCTTCTGGAGCTCAGAGGGAGCTCAGTTTGGCCTTGTAGAACTTGGGGAATCTCAGACAAATTGTTCTCTTGGTGACCCTGTTGGTTTCTAGCAACCAGCGTGGGGACAGCAGCATAGGATGGTCACTGGGGTCATCTTGGACCCTGTCACAGTCTTCTCTGGTGGCCAGTGAGGTATGGGAGTCGCCCTTCCTCCCTCAGCCCGTCCTTCCTGCTGTCCACAGCACAGAGCTTCTGGGATGGGCAGGTTCCCTCTGGGAAGTGAAGGGGGGAAGAGGGAAGGACAGAGCTGTGTTTTGGAGGAGAGAGAGAGAGCGAGAGAGCGCGTGTGTATGAGTGTGTGTGTGTGTGTGTGCGTG